AGCAGCGGCAGCAATGGGATGGGACAAAAGTGTTGGGAGGGTGGGGGAGAGCAGAGTAACTAAGTGGAATTGTTTTACTGATTATTGCATCATAATCAGTTCTGACACCTAAATATATGTCTCTTCCTCGCTCTACCCCACCACACCTTGCACCACTTCTTGAGAGACAAACCTTTGCTATTCTTCCTTCTTTCACTTCTAAGAATTTGTCTGTGGATTTTCTTGTGTTAGTGATATCATCTGCAATAACAGAAGCTTTCTTTGCTTGTTTCTCATTCTAGGTTTCTCACATGGCATCTCCAAGACAGCACTTGACCAGAATGAGTGACAGTTGACATCGTCTCCTCCAAGACCTTGTAAGCTATGCTTCTGCCTTCAGAATGGCACATTCTGTCCTGGGTGGGGGGTCTCCATTTGTTCCACTTTTGCTTGTTCCTTTATCTGCAAATATTCTACAAATGGGCTTATCTGGCCCCCATAAAACTGAGTCAAGTACTCCCTGCATTAGTGTTCTTGATAACTTTCTCTAGTCTTTCTACGGAAATGAATCCATTTTTAAATTGTGATAAAATTGTCACTTTAATAGATAGGCACATCTCTAGCATTCATTACATACATCAAAATGCAACTTAGCTGGAAACAGAGAAGTAATCAAGTTAAAGTGAGGTCACTAGGGTGGGCCCTAACACATTATGACTGATGTCATTATAAGAGGAAATTTGGTCAGAGATGGCTGTTCACAGAGGGAAGATGGTGTGAAGAGGTGTTGGGAGAAGATTGCCATCAACAAGCCAAAAGACACCTGAGGTTACCCACAACCAAGTAATAGGCCTAGAACATATCCTACTCTGGTAACTTCAAAGACAGCATGGTCCTGCTGACATCTTGATATCAGATATTGGACATCAAAACTGTGAGGCAATAAATCTGTATTGCTGTAAGACAACCAGTTAGTACTTTTTACAGAAGCCCTGAGACACTAAAATGCAGTGGACTTTGTGTCTGTCTTCTTTTTGTTGTTGTTGGTGGTGATCATGGGACTTGAACTCTGGGCCTGAGCGTTATCCCTGAGTTCTTCAGCTCAAGGCAAGCACTCTACCACTTGAGCCACAGCACCACTTCCAGTTTTCTGGTGGTTAATTCGAGATAAGAGTCTCATGGACTTTCCTGCCCAGGCTGGTTTTGAACCAAGATCCTCATATCTCAGTTTCCTGAGTAGCTAAGATTACAGATGTGAGCCACTGGTGCCCAGCTCTGTCTTCTTTTACTTTGTGTTTTTCAACACTCATCCATGTTGTGCTATTTATCCGCTTTGTTCTTTTTCATATATGTCTTCTGTGTCATATTTGCCTTTTATTTATGAATGGTCACTTAGATTGTTTTGACCTGTTAGCCATGGTGAATAATTCTGGCAAACATGAGCATACAATTATCTCAATGAGTCCATGCTGTTAATTCTTTGACATATACCTAGGAGTAGAATTTCTGGATTACATAGTTTCTCCATATGTTTTCAGAAACCACCAAATGTTCCACAGTAGTTGCCCATTTCATATTCCCACCAGCAATGAATGAGCATTACAACTTCTCAACATCTTTATCAACACTTCGTGTGTGTGTGTGTGTGTGCGCGCGCGCACGCGTGCACACGCGCGCGCACGTACCAGTACTGGGCCTTGAACTCAAAGCCCTGTGCTCTTGGTTGGCTTTTTCATTCATGGCTGGTGCTGCCATGTCCCCAAGTACATATCAACACATCTTATTTCCATATTTGTGTTTATTCTAATGGGTGTATTTTAGACATTCTGACAGAAGTGGTTTCATATTTCATATGGCTCTGATTTACATTTCTCTCTTGACTAGTGATGTTGAGCATCTTTTTATTAGCTTATTGACCATTTGAATTTCTGTCTTTTGAATAAATGTCTGAGTCTTTTGGCCAAATTATATTTTTTTGGGGTTCGGTCGTGAGGCCTGAACTCTGGGCCTGGGCACTGTCCCTCAGCTCTTCAGCTCAAGGCAAGCACTCTACCACTTGAGCCATAGCACTACTTCTGACTTTTTTCTTTTTTTCTTTTTTTTTTTTTTGCTTATGTGGTGCTGAGGAATCGAACCCAGGGCCTCAGGCATGCAAGGCAAGCGCTCTACCACTGAGCCACCTTCCCAGCCCCTTGGCCAAATTATAATCAGATGCTTAGCCTTTCATTATTGAATCATAGGCAGTCTTTATATATTCTGAACATTAATTTTTTGTCATGCCATGGGTCATTATTTCCCCCTTCTGTTGATTAGCTTTTCACTCTCTAGAGAGTTCGTGTCTAGTGAGGCAAAAAAAAATCACATTTTGATGAAGCCCCTTTTATCTATTTTTTCTGTGTTGCTTGTGCTTTTAGTATTATGTCTAAAAATCCACTGCCAAATTTGAAGTCAAAGTTTAAGGCCCTATTTCTATCCTAAATTTAACTTTAGTATTTATATCTTTTCCTTT